TACACAGACTAATGAAATACTATCTGTAAAATTATCTATGTAAACAAACCTCATCACTTGAGAAGGTAGGTGATGCGGACATTGTGGAAGACATTTTGTCCCGTAACGCTTGCCGTACTGTTGGGGGGGAGAAGCGGTGGGGGGGAGATGTTCATGTTGCTGCGGCCTGCAGTCTGGACGTTAGATGTCGCTGAAAATTACACGCTGTAGCTTTAATTTCTAATCAAAACCAAACACCTACATCTTAATAGAAAAGGTTTTCTGGGGATACATTTTAAGGTCAAACTAAAAATGTATTAAAGCAATACTAAAGAAATTTCAGTTTTGGTTGATTTTGGCTCCCCCCAGTAGGATACAAATACTGTAGTATTTTGCCTAAAGGAAGTCAACATTTTCACATGAGCACAAGTGTGGTACAGACCATAGCAAGAAAGTGATACAGACCATCCCGTGCAAAAACAGATGTGTCACCAGTCTAGTTTTTAAGTATAATCACAAAACTTATGAAAATATTTTATAAAGGTTGAAAAGTTACTTTTCGTTGGTTTAAAGCCCAATTAATTTAACAGCAAATGACAATTTCTGCTTTTAGTAAAATTGCATGTGATAAAAATAAACGTTGTGCAAAGTTGGTATTAATGAATAAAGCTTATATATTTATTTTTGAACTCCGGACGGCAATACCACTTGCAGGCAGCCTTTGGCCTACAGATCTCATTACGTGATAGAAACACGCATGGAGGAGGCTGGTCAAATTGGGACTTTAGCTTTTAGTGTAAGAACCACAAATGTGGTGAATGACTGAAGCTTTACATTATAAAAACCAAAACATTGTCATGGTTTTAAGGTGTTTGGACCATATGCAGACACAGACGGAGAACAGGGATCAGTTTAAGATGTTTATTTAGGCTATACACTAATATGAATATTTCACAACGTGAGCTGCAGGCGAGGTTCAGAACATCAGCATTAGTAGCACTGCTGGAGGAAAGAGGAAACTGATTAACACTAAGATAGTAAGAAAGATCTGCGAGGTGCTGCTTCGCTTACTGCCAGGTACGGATAACCTTTCCGGGGAGGGTGAGTGGAAGAAAGGGTTCTGCAATTCACTTTCCTCCGATGGGAGGAGATGGCTGCGTGACAGGTGAGCTAGCGGAAGGAAATTAGGCAGGAGCCCAAGTAAATCCAGGAAGGGGGGACTCTTTTGCGGCTTGGTAACACCTAGAGGGCTAGAGGGGAACGTCAGAGCAGAATCTGAGCGGCAGGGAACCTGTCTTCAGCCCATGGAGACAAGATTGTGAGTAACTCAGAGCACAACGAGCTGAGGGAGACAGGAAACAAAGTTAGAACTAGAAATCCAAAACTTCAGACTCTCAGGAATGACATAATGGTCTAATACTCTGGCGTCCTTCAGCTAACTGAAAGCTCCTCTTACGCTCCAGCCAGAGCAGACCCAATGAGCCGCAGGTGAGGGGCCACGCCCACCTGTCAACAGCAGCCACCTGTGGAAGAGAATCAGCAGAGCACAAAACACAGAATCCTGACAAACATATTAGGTCGTGTAACTTTGCATGTGGTGCACAGGGTAGATGTGAATAACATTTTTTTGTTCAACTCCCTGAGGTAGTCTGTGCCTAAATGTCCTTGCATACAAGGAATGTGGGAGTCTGTATACCTCCTAAGCTCCAGATATGATCTTTGTTATGCTTACACACTTATGGTGATTGCTGAAACACTTCCGCTTTGACTAAAGTGTCCTTCGATTTGATGACTTTGGATGGAACCTTGAGGAGGAGTTCAGCTTCAAGATATACAAACCATCCAGGAAAATTTACTTGGGTTTCAGGGAGGAGCTTTTGCCCTGAGCAGTTCCCATCAGGTTTTATTTATAAATAAAGGCAAACAAAGGAGAGGAAGCTGCCACAGGGAATGAGAGGGAATAAAAAGGAACAGCAAACCAGCAGGACATGTACTGTATTTGAAAACCAGTGTTTCCGCTGCCATTAGTTTGCCCTTACACCTGCTTCTAAATTCTGACCAGTGTGCACTAATGCAGACTTGCTATTGAAGGGCTGAACGGCCTACTCCCACTTCCCACTACGTGGTGTGGGATGGTCCTTAATGTTGAAGACACTCTGTGGGAAAACGCAAACAAAGAGTTAGTGTTTAGGCACTGTTTGGTATGAGACATAGCCGGGCCACAGATCGTGTGCAATAAATACAGATACTAAACAATGACCTGAAGGGTAACTTGTCATACATCGGGCTTGGCATTTATTTCAGACATATATATTAACATATCTTTTATCCCCAATGCAAACAGATCATGTGCACTAAACCTACAGTAGACACTGAATAGTTATACTGTCCCAACTCTATAAGTCCTCCTCCTGTATATCTTCCTAATCAGACTCTTAATCTGAGTGGTCCCTTTATTCTGTGATCCACCAGTCAGTTCACAATTTTACTTTATTGGTAGTATGTTCATTTATTCTCGTTATAGTAAGCCTTCTTTGTCCATTAATACTAATAAGTCCTTAGAAAGTGATACGATTTCTCTGCTATGCATCCTTCTGAAGCTAACTCAAGATACTTCAGCATTTTGAAAGTTGATTTTACTTGAAAGCAAAATAAAACAGTTTTTTGCTTTCTCTTCTTTGAAAAAGTACAATAACAAGTTTTTGCACATTAATTGAAACAAAACCACTTTGGTAATTTTCATTTATACTCCGTTATGAAAAGATTTCTCCTGCAACAACTTTTGTGCCTCTGCAAGGCAATTATCACATGTAATGCCAGGATTAATTTGCATAAATGTACTATACTCTTACAGTAAAACTGTCCAGTAAGGTCATTGTGTTCTTTCTATTTACAATAACCAAAGTAAATCCTATGATTTTTTAATTGAAAACAACAATCATAGAAATTTGGCTGACATTGTATACAGTACAATGTGTAAATAAATAAAACCCCTAATAAATCAATAAAATTGCTAATTCCTAGTTAATGAAGTTTATTTCAACCAATGGATAAAGCATGAATTGACATTCAGAAACTTAAACCATTATGTTTACATTAATTCATTGTAATTCTCCAATCCTTCTTGTTTCAATGTTTCCATCAACAGTTCTTCCTACAGTATCTCTCCTCCAGAAGACCCCCTCCTCTCCAGTGAGCTGTTATGCTACAGGTTTCTACCCAGAGAGCGCTGTGATGTTCTGGAGGAGGAGTGAAGAGGAAATTCATGAAGGTGTTCAACATGGAGAGATCCTCCCAAACCATGATGAAACATTCCAGATGGAGACTTTACTGGATGTCCCATTAATTCCATCTGAAGATTGGGGGAAATATGACTGTGTCTTTCAGCTCTATGGTGTCAGCAATGCCATCATAACCCCTCTGAATAAGACAATAATCAAGACCAATCAGGGTAAGTAGGAAATACAAAAAACTATAAATGGTGTGTTTTTTTGTTTTTGTTTTTACTTTGTTTTTTTTGGTTTGATGCTCATGATTTAGCTCAATATCTGGGCTATTCTTTTGGGGGTTTTTTTCATACAAAATTTTTATTGCTGCAAGCTTGTTTCTTTAGATAGGAATTTGAAAACAAACCAGAACGTATTTATATACAAGTTGTTACAAGTAAATCAAAATATAGAGGAGAAAGTATGTTATTCCAGAAATAAATGCTTTTATTAAGTGTTCAGGAGATTCACCAGACGGACTGGATTTGTTGTGTGCAGGCTTTGCACATCTCTTGCTCTAGTTGTTTATAAAACCTTCGATATATCTGATACAAAATGAAAAAGCTTATAAAAGTGAAGCCTTTGTTTTGAAGGTTATTACAATATTTGATTATTTCAATTTTAGCTAAAAATATAATATAATAAATTAAATCCTCTTTGCCTTTTTTTCTTTCTTCTTTTTCCTATCTATGCAATATAAGCTCTAGCAATAACAGAAGAGTCTTTTAACCCGGCTGCCCTTATCGCTACATCATTGGTGTTTGTTGTTCTCATAATCATAGCAGTCATTGTATACATCACTATAATAAAGAAAAGGTAAGAAAGAACATTTAAAAAATACAATTTTACATGAGGAAAAACACAAGAACTTTAAACCAAAGTGTAACTGTAGCTATTGTATTTTTTTTCTGGTGAGATTCTCTCTATTTTTTAACTTACTGTTACAAGTTGTCACAGTATCTTAAATTGCCTGAAACTTGTTTTCCTGGGATAACCTCAACATTGTATTTTTAATCCTACAGACGTTTACAACACCAAGGACCGATCTGATGGTTTGTCCCCAAAAATATTGATATCAAATGTTCTTAAGGCAAGACTGTAAGTGTATCAATTTTTCTCTGAGCTGTCGCTCTAATCCCGTCATGGTTTTGCTTGTTTAGGATTTATCTTTGAGTTTTTGTTGGTTTTATTTCCATTTTGTGTTAATCTAGTTATTTTTTATTGTATTTGTTTTCTTAGGTATTTCTTGTTTGCCATATGTTGCCCTCCTGTGTCAGCTCCTTTCTAGACTCCTCTGTTCACACCTGCTCCCAATCTGCCAATTAGCCTGGTCTTTTTGTCTCTCTCCCATATATACACCTCATTGTTTGCTGGTTTGTCATAAATTTTTCTGAGTTTTCTGGTTTTCTGTATTTTTGTGGATTATGAGGATGCACATTTTTTGGATTTTTGCTTTTGTTGCCTTTTTTTGGACAATTAAATCTGCAAGAAACCACCTTCAGCTTCAGTCTCTGCATTTGGGTCCTTCAAACCTCAACTCAGCCTTAAAGGAATAGTACACCCAAAACATAATTAGCCTTCATTTTCTACTCACCCCCATGCTGAACAACACTCTGGAGTACTTTTTTGATATCTCAAATGCATCTGGAGATCTGGGAGGCTTCTTGCTGTCTGCTGACATTAAAATAAGGGAGGTCTAGGGCGCCCGAGACAGAAAGGTCAATAAAAGTCACAAAAAACGTGTCAATA